AAAGATCCCTGGGTCTTTCTGGTTAGCCAGCCTAGCCTACCCTATTCAGGGACTCCCAGACCACTGAAAGAATTTGTCTCAAAAATGGGGGTGGGGGGTCTTGGAAGGCACCCTGTGAGATGACAGTTGACCTCTGACCTTCATATGCACATACACCCTCAGTAAAGGAAATCAATAAAATCAATGGTTTGTTCTTCCAAAAAGAATCAGCAAAGCTGGTCGTTAGCAAAGCTTACTACACGCTTAGGCATGGGGACTCCAGTAAGACCCTCCAGCAGCGGTGTAATAAACCTGAAGTCTCTGTGCTAGGAAAACAGACAGGAGTTCTCCTGGAGCTTGCTGGCCAGACCGTCTAGCTGATTGGTAGACTCGAAGTTCAGCAAGAGATGGTCTCTCAAAAATTAAGATGGACGTGAACTGGAGAGACAGCAGCAGTTAAGCAGGAGTTAAGCAGGCGGCTGAGGCAGGCAGTTCTATAAGTTGGAGGCCAGCCTGGCTACATAGCAAATGTCAGCTGGTTCTGAAACCCCCTATATCATAATCATGCTATGTATGATATATATATATATGTGTGTGTGTGTGTGTGTCTGTGTGTGTACATATATAGTGTGTGTGCTGGAGAGTGGAGCAAAGACTCTTTTCTAAGAAATAACCTAACTGGCTTGCCATATATGGTCATAGTGTTTTTAGCCATTTGTGTTTTTTTTTTAATATTTATTTTATTTAGATGAGTACACTGTCGCTGTCTTCAGACACACCAGAAGAGGGCATTGGATCCCATTACAGACGGTTTTGAGCCACCATGTGGTTACTGGGAATTGAACTCAAGACCCCTGAAAGAGCAGTCAGTGTTCTTAACCTCTGAGCCATCTCCCCAGCCCTAGCCATTTGCTTTTTATGAGCATGATCTAATTAGTTGGCAATTCATGATTGGTTGAAGCTTGACTCCAGCAGTTGGCAGATCCTTGGCTGGTTGCTTGTTTACTGGGGTATTTACTCTTAGATCAGATTATAGTTTGTTTACACATCAATCTAGGGTACAGTTCACTATGACTGGAACCTGCTTTGGGCCAAACAAATCAATTTTGTAGATAGAATTAGACCAAACTTACCTCAGGTTGCCAACATATTTTACCACAGCTTTTTTTTTTTCTTTTTTAAATTTAAAAACAAAGTCTTTAGTATGTAACCCTGGCAGGCCTGGAATTTGCTATGTAGACCAGGCTAGCCTCAAACTTAAGAGATTCATCTGACACTGCCTCCCAACAGGTGGGATCAAAGGCCACCATACTCAGCTTAGCACAATTCTTTTGAGGAGGGGGTTGTCAAGCAAAGCCACTTTACAGTTCTTTTATCATTGGAGAGGGCACCTCAGTCCTGAAAACATCTTAAGACACAGGAGACAGGTTTTTGAGGGAGACACAGGAAAACACAGGGTTTGTCTTGTCTTCTTCCCTCCAAAAACTGGAGCCAAAACTGTAGTCCTGTCTCCAGGGTAGAGGGAAGCTGGTCCAGACCTGTCATCCTTCCTTCATCCACATGCTCACACTGCAGAGCATCCATGGTCCAGGACTAAGGGCAAGCACCTGATGACTTGGATAGCTGTCTGCTGGGGAAAGCCTTCCTGATCACCCACTGGTCCAGGATGAGCCAAGGCTCTTGTGAAACCAGAAAGAAACCAGCACGTCCTTTCCAAAATCGGCATCTCATAGATGATGTAGACAGTGAGAAAAATAAGAAGAGGAAAATTCATCTGTAATCCCTCAGGACCAACCCATAACTAGTGTTTTGACATAAATCTTTTCATACCTTTAATGCCTATTTTAATGGAATTGGATCATATGTCTATAACGCTCAAGATATAATGAGCATTTTCCTTCATCAGAAAAAGTTGGTTTCCAAGCTATTTCTACAACCTGCGTATCTCACGTGCGACTAGTCCCTTACTTAATCATTCTCCTACATCCAAAGTAAGTATTCATTTACTTATTCATGCTGTTGTATTGCTGTGACCAAACATGCAAGCACATACATTCTAAAGGTTAAACCTGTCGTGTTTCTGTTCCTTCCTTCAGAGTCTATATCTTCAGGCTGGATTTCAGGAAATGGAATTCACTATATTAAAAAGCACAAACATCCAGGAACCCTGAAGAGCTAGGTGTTTGGGGCTCACTTGCAAGCTAATCTGTATAAAACTGAGGTTGTTAAATTCTGCACGAACAGCCAAATACGTGCCTGTGAAACCAGGATCCTCAAACATGGATGGAAGACCAGGTCTGATATCTCTCTCCCAATCTAGACTGCCAACATCACAGGGTCCCCTGATTTCCAGTAAATCGTTCTTGGTTGAGAAAGTCAAACACACACAATTTTCAGTTGATTTTTGAGGAAGCCATTCTAGTACTCAATAGAGTCAGATGCTTACAGATTGGCAGGAAGTGTGGATACCTTGATTGTTAGCCACTGTTGAGTGACTGCTGTGACAAAAGTTCACCGCTGGCAGACTACAGGTGGCTCAGAAAGCCAAAATTTGATGGTGAATCTGTTCAGTCGCCCCTGTGGTTCCAACAGACCTGGCTGATCAAATTGGAATACAATAATATTGAAAAGTGTTGATAGTGGTCAGAGACTGTGACTTATCCCTGATTGCTTTGTAATCTTCATCATCACCAAAAAAGAGGGCCAGCCCTCTCATGGACTCTACATATGGGAGCTATCATCTATCTTAGGTGGACATTCTACTTGATGCTTTTATACCCTCTATCCCACAGGGCAGAACCCCTTGAGTGGGAGCCAAGAGTAACTGACTCCATTGGAGAAGATTGGGCCATGCTTTGTACAAGGTGAACTCTTTGCTTGCAAGAGAACTGGCCAGTCACAATTCCGACCTACTGTGGCAGTCTCTGATTGGCAGCAGCAGTCATTCCCGGTATGTCCACCTCACAAAATAGATGTGTCCAACATGGTGATAAATAAGATCCGGGTCATGTAGACTGGGTCAACAGCCTCATTCCAATTGGTTCAAAGGAAAATGGGTTCTTAGAATAAGTATTATGTATTTATACATCACGGCCACAGATTGCCCAATTCACAGACCCAAATAGAGGAGTCTTTAAATGCCAGTTGGGGGTGCTGGAGAGATGGCTCCGTGATTAAGAGCACTGGCTGCTCATCCAGAGGACCAGAGTTCGATTCCCACCACTCACATGGCAACTCACAACTGTCTCTATCTCTGGTTCCAGGAAACTTGACACTCTCTCCTATCCACCAGTCAGCAAGCATACAAAGGGACATACATGACAGGCAAAACACCCATGCATATAAAATTAAAAAAAAAAAAAACAACTTAAAGATAAAATAAAAATAAATTTAAATACCAGTTGAGAGTTTCTCAGTGACACTGAGTGCCTGGGCCACTGGCAACAGCCTGAGATACTATGTCCAGAGCTATGGACAGGTTCTGCCAACAGGGCAGTGACTCACCCACTTTCTGAGTAAACAACCAGAGCTGGTGGACACCAGCACAGTTTTGGTTTGGTCAAGCTATCAGTAAAGCAGTAGAAACTATGTTAAGGCCCGCTTGAAGCCTGTGCCTTTAAGTATTGCTGTGTACTCCCCTAAAAGGCTAGCTGCCCATTTTTTTTCTCCATGTATGATACCACCTGGCCCCACGTAGCTCTGTGTTTGAATAGCCCACTTCCATTTTCCTACTGTGGCTTTCAAGAATCATCTTTAAGGCTGGCCTTTGAACTCACAACCCTCTTGCCTCAGCCTCAGTGCTGAGAGTACCAGCATATCCAGCTAAGGACTCTATATTTTAATTAGTAACCAGGGCTGGAGGGTTGACTCAGCAGTTAAGAGCATAGGTTGTTCTTCCAGAGGACCCAAGGTCAGCTCCCAGAACCCTTACAGTGGCTCACAACCATCTGGAACGCCAGTTCTAGAAAATCTGATGCCCTCTTCTACTCTCCTTGAGCATGGCATGCAACCGGTGTAAACATACATGCCAAAAGAATCCTCTTATACATAAAATAAAAATAAATCTTTAAGAGCTGTACAGTCAGTCAGCTTTGACAGATGACTAGCTGGTCACTGTGTGACGCGCCTCTAGCTTCCCGCTGTCAGACACTCCAATCAGCAAAATCACCTACAGAACCTTGACAGCTTTTTAAAGAGAGTGTTAGGATTGTCAGACCCTCAGGGAGAGTGACTCACAGCTTGCTGGACACTTTCAGGACAGGACAATGTTGTCAGGAAATTGTTCAAAAAGTGCTAATTCTAAAGAAGCCCATACAAAGGCCCAACAGGACATCGAGGTTAGGTAATCCAAGATGGTTCCAGGTCTTTTTTTTCTCCCCCTGCTGGTGGTAGGGGTTAGCTTGCCCTTGACTTCTGGAAGGAACTAGATTGATAAATCTCTCACTCAGCCCAGAAAAACTCAATTTTGTCAGAGATTATCAGTTATCTCCTCTGGTGGAGGTGTCAGAATGTTATGTTAAAAGCCTGGACACCTGTTGTCTGGCTGCAGGCTGGGGCAGAGGAAACAGAAAGGTTGGTGTCCTCCCACTGTGCCCCCATGCTCCCCTCTTATAGACAGTCTACCTCCCTCACCTCAGGCAAGTGTTCCATCTTCTTCAAGAGCAGTTCTGAGTTCTGAAATGTGTAGGTGCTGTCTATCCCGGTTTTGTCCAGCATCAAGGCCTGGTTGAGGCCTCAAGGGCAGAAAATGAAATTCCAGCAGAGCAGTGGTGGCGCACACCTTTAATCCCAGCACTTGGGAGGCAGAGGCAGGTGGATTTCTGAGTTCGAGGCCAGCCTGGTCTACAGAGTGAGTTCCAGGACAGCCAGGGCTAAAAAAAGAAAATGAAATTCCAGTCGCAGTCAAACTAGATAGAGCATTTCAAGGACCTGGTCCAGACAGTCAAGCCAATGATCTGGGGAGATGGGAACTCTGCAGGGTAACAGGGGCTTCACGACGGCTGGACAAAGGGTGCTACCACTGTATGGTGAGAATATTTATTGAGAATGGCTCATTACAAACAAAATATATTTATGTATAAAATCCTCTGCTATGCAAAAGATCCCTTTCATCCTCCTGCGGCTAGAGTGATCAGAACCATCTAGAGTTCCCATGTGGCCTCAGAGCCTATGCTGGGATGCACGGAAGCTGAAGAGTCTGAGAAGCACATGCTATGGTAAGTATCTGATGACAAGGCTTCCTCTAGCCCAATTCATGGCTGGTGCAGTATAACAGTGTGCCCCGTGCCCTGCCTCAGGCAGGTGGATCTCAAAGACAGCAGCTTTCTTGTTATTTTTACAGACACGTGGACCTGATGACCTGTGACTTGCCCTGAGAAGCCATTATTTGGGTCCAGGGACTGAGCATTTTTTAAACGTCCTAGAGGATGAAGATGGCCACCTTCTGTGGAGGCCATTTCCCATGAGCACTCGCGTGGGTGTGTGCCACGCCTCAGCCCATCCACTTGCTGTGAAGGCTTTCCCTCTGCCTATAGTCTCACGGTTCCACCACAGCCTCCTCGGAGGACACCCATACCCATAGCTGCTGTGTGGGACTTCTGAGCTTACATCCAGAGTTCCTTGGGGGCCCTGACCACTCAGCATTAAGACAATGGAAATGAGACCAGATTGAAAACAAAACTACTCTCTGAAACCCAGAGCAGCTGCCTAGCCGACAGCACCTCCCTTCAGCCCAAGGCTTCGTCTAATATTGACCAATAATATGGGTAACTGGTCTTGACTGCCCTTGTAAACACAGACCACCTCTGTCCCCCAGACTACCATGAGGGGGCAGCTAGTAGGAGGGGAAGCAGCTACTGCCACGTCATGCCTTGAGTACTGAAAGTCCAAGGCCCCTGGAGGACAGTGACGGTGAGAGGCCGTTGGGGGTACCCTTTATTCTTCACCAGGGAAAGCCCATGAGGAGTGGGCTCCCTGGTGTCTTTAGAAGTGACTCACTCACTTGTCTTTGGTGCAGCTTCAGCATGCAGACTGCTGGCCAGGCCAGGCCAGACCAGCCATCTTATTAAGAAAGGATTTGGACTGGCTGAGGTGCCCCATGTAAAGAAGGGTTAGTGGTTTCAAAGTACCTGTATCTATTCTTGTCTGACTCCCCACACAGTGGAGACCGGAGTCTCACTAAAACACCCTTGCTACCAAGAGCAAAACAACACAAATTAACTACCTCTAGTGGATGCTACCTGCTGTGTTGTGTGACTCTGACACTGCCTCTCTTCAAGACAGAAGAGACCCGGTATTCTGTGCAAATGCTCCTGGTGTGCGCACCAGGGTGGGTAGGGAGCTGCCTGCTGTTTTAGGAGCCCGGGCCCTCTAGCACCCAGCCTCAGAAGGCTCCCAGATTTAGAGGGCAGGTCTTGCTGAGGAAGTCAAGCTGGTATCAGGAGGCCTTGTGGAGGCAGGGGCTCTCTGGGGAAGTCTCTAGTCAACTTCTTGTTCCTAAAACATTCTCTTCCCCTCTCACCCATTCGGCCCTGCCCACTCGTAAAAGCTTTCCACTCTACAGAAGGTACCTAGAGGCTAAGAAGGCATCGGCATCCCAGGGGTCGGAGAGCCTCAGAGTGGCTGTGAGGTATGCTTACGCTGCATGATAACAAGGCCTAGTAAGCAGTCCCAGAGACCTGAGTCCATCAGAGGCAGGACAGAGCAGTGAGACCATCCACTATGGCTCAGAGTGGCCCAGAGCCACAGCCCGGAATTTGCATTGCTCTTCCCAAACACGCTTTTCTTCCGGGGTTCCTGCCTTGGGCACAGCTGGAGGCAGACTTGAGGTCTTCCACGGGGCACAGCTGGAGTCAGTCTTAGGGTCTTGAGAGATAACCCCCTTTTGATGCTCTTGAGTTGTCTCCAGCAACTACAAGGTGTTTAGGACGAATGGCATGATGACACTGGTGGACAAAGCAGTCACAGAGTTCCCAAGAACGTTGCCAAACAGGCTGAGGCTACAATTCTGAACCCCAGCCCCAGCATCCCTGGGCATGGGCATCCTGAGTGGGCCTGGCTGAGACAGAACACAGGGTCTGAGGACCTGGCATGCCAGGCTCCTGCTGTCAGCTGTCCAGGTAGACAAAAAGGATGTCCTCATCTGTGCCATAGCTAGTTCTGGCCTCCTCGAAGTTACTGATGCTGGTGCTACACATTCCTGCTGAGGGTGGAAGAAGAACAGAGTTGGATCAGTGGGTGGGGGAAACACCCGCTCCTGGTACTCAAGGGGACTGGATGGGGTCTGTGTTCTACCTGCCCTGCCACCTCTCAGCTCAAGCCTTCCTTCCTTAGGGAAGCTCTCCTGCCCACTCTGACCTTCCTGAGTCAAGTCTTTCTTTTGACTCCTTCCCAGTTTAGTGGATAAAGAAAGCAAGCCCCAAAGGGAAGAAAACAGTCTGTTCCAGGATGTACGTCCTGGTCTGGTCAGAGAAGTCCTCCTCTAGGATTGTCCACGGCATGAGGGCAGTGGACAGTCTACAACAAGGGCAGGGTCTGGCCAGACTCTCTAGCTTGGGTGCTGGCTACCCTGTGAAGCCCAGGAGGTAGGCCTGCAGAGGTGGGGAGCTGAGTAGACAGAAGCTGGCTTGTCTGTATGACCCAAGGGGCAAGCCCTGATGACAGAACCCCAGGAGGAACAGGGGCTTTGGAGTCGGGCATCGGCCATACCAGCTTACAGGGAGGAAGCTGTGCAGTCTGGGAACAGGGGACAGTAAACACAGGCCACCCCGGCCCACCTGCCCCCAGGCACTCACGGTCAGCATAGGCTGGGTTGTTATAGAAAATGCAGCCTGTAGCCCTGTTATAGCCGCGCAGAACGATGAAGTGGCCCTGGTAGTCGGGGGTGCGGCAGAAGCAGCGGTGGCCACTGGGGGTGAAGCAGCAGTACTTGACAGGGCTGGAGCACAGGTCACAGTGTAGCACCCCGGAGTTCACCAGCACGATAGCCACGTGGCCCTGTGCCAGGTGTGCTTGGATGTCCTGCACACTCACTGTGCTGTGGGCAGGAGGGAGGTTAGCCAGTGCCAGTGTGGCCATGTCCCCATCTCCCAGATTGATGTCCCCAGTTTGCACCTACATCCCAGTGTTACAATACGTAAGGACTTAGCTTGTCTGCCCTCTGCCCTGAGCTCCCTGCAAGTGGCAATTGTCCTGTCTTGTCACTGTGACCCAGGCAAGTGGAGGTGGGAAGGCTCACCATTTCTCTACTTGCACCTTGCAGGCCTTGGCTTGTGCAAACAGCTGGTTCACTCGGGTCTCCTCCGTGTCAAAGTGCTTCCTATAGAAGGACTGAAGAGAGGACAGACTGGAGTCACCCATCCTGGATGCACACACTCCATTTAAATGAAACAAAGACCGGTTTATAGAAGTAGGTGTAAAAGCATACAGAAGCCCTACTGATGGGCGAGCGGCTTTACCCAGCATGCCCAGGAAGAAAGCCGTGTCTGTCTCTGGCTGGAGAGTGGACAGGAACATACAGGGGCACGAAGAAGGGGCTCAAGAGACAAGGAAGCGTTAGATTCAGAGGACTTGGTCAGGCCATTCTCTGGTAGACATGAGCAGGAGGGTAAAGCAAGGCTGTCCTCCTAACCCCCACCAGGACGGCTCAGTTATAGCCCAGTGTAGCCAAGTGTGGTTCACAGAACATACTCTGCTTGGTGCCTCATGTGACCAGAGAGAGCCCCAGGAGGCAGGCCAAAGACATTCTGTTCCCAGGTCCCCTTCTCTGTCTTAAGATTTAGTAGCCTTCTTTACCTGGCATGGAAGGTTCAAAGAAGAATTAGGCTGACTGCCACTGGCCACCACGTGACAGCCGTTCTGCCAACGAGGCCTGCAGAGACTACTCTGCCAAGTCTTGGCGCCTGGGCCAAGATCGCCTCAAGGGCAGGTAAGCCTGGATCTGGCTTTCCAAGGGATCGGAACAAGCTGGTGTGTTGGCACAGCCATCACGGTGGCTTTATTTTTCTAGAGAGGAAAACAGTGAGGAAGAGGCAGAAACGCCGACAGGCAGCTACCGTGTATTCTTCTAGAATGCCAGTTACCCTGGTGAGAAGGAAGAAGACAAGGCAGCGATAGTCACGTGATCAGCGTACTCTGTGGCCTTCGACCTGCCCTGTCCTACAGTGGAGAAAGACTCAGAAAGGCAGACAGAAGTCAGGACTCAGCCTGTAGATGTTCCACACAGCGAGACCTCAGGGCCACCTGTCTGTTGTCTGTCTGCCACTGCCGTTGGTGCCTGTACCCCTGTGCACACACTTGAGGGTCCAGTCTTTGAACATTCTCTCCTGTAACAGTGATAACTGGGGAGCCTCGAAGGCCCACCCAGGGACCAGCTGCTCACCTGGTTCTTGTAACCCTTGTCAACACCCAGAGTCTGGGTACAGAAGCGGTGTCTCACACCAAAGTGGCGCATCAGGTAGGCCAGGTCGATGGTCCAGATGCTTCTGGTCAGGTGCAGCTCCCGCAAGGCATGTTCAAACTCCCCGTCGTCTAGCTGGCCCAGGTACCTGAGGGCAAGGGGCACAGGGGTTAGCTTGTTCTTGAAGCAAAGCTAGACTAAGTCACACACACCCCGTGTGAGAGCCACGGGTGCTGCTCACACTTCTAATCCTTTATCGTGAACCCCCATGGCATGCCACATAGAACTGAGTACAGCCTGAGGTTTTCAGGGCTCAGGCAGCCTGGGTGGGACATGGTCTGGCCCCCAGAGGGAAGGGCCTGGATCTTGTTTTTTGTATCTCTTATGGACTATGTGAACCTGGGGAAGTTGCTGCTCTTTCTGGCCTCACTGACAGCGTATCAAAGATGAAACGCTTAGATCACAGACATGGTTTTCAAAAACTGCAGGCACAAGTCACTCTGTGACGCTCCATCTTCCCCAGAATCCTAGTATGGGAGAATGGATCCGGGTCTCCATCTTCCCCAGAATCCTAGTATGTAAGATATACGAAGGAGAACGGACCTGGGTCTCCAGACAGCCAGTTAAAAATTCCTGCCGAAGATAATGAGGTACCAGTCCTTTCTGGCTCAAACTATCAAGGTATATATTTATGCAGTATCCCAGTGACCTGATATCTGAGGGGTGGGAGATGCACCAGCTACCCAACCTGAACACCTGGGACTTCCCTGACCACTCCGAGCTCCCAGGCATCACCTGAGTGAACACACTTGGGCAGCCTGACCCACCCTTTGTCCGTATTTAAAATATGCCAGGGCCTAAATGGAAGCTGGGCCTCTTCTAGGGTTCAAACAAAGCCAGCCCATATAGATGCTGGCTCCCATCCAGGTTACGGCCTGTTTCATCCCTGAGCCCACACAGGTGTGGACACTCACCGAAGCACCATCCTGGAGCAGGCCAGGCCACAGTCCCAGTGATACAGCTGCTGGATGATGGGCACTGGCAGCTGCACAAAGTCCCCTGCAGAGAAACGAGAGTGAGGTCTCAGACACTCTGCACAGTGCCCACCAATGCCAACCCCCATGGAAGCACCACGACAGCCTCCACAGAAACTCTATAGCATTCAGGGCCTTCCCACAGTTCGCTATCCTTCCGCCACCAGCACTTTCTCCTACACACCAGCCACAGCCAGTAAGCCCTGCACACCATCCTCCTGGGTGCTGGTCCCCACTTTACAACAAAGCAGTGTTCGCTGCTGCCCGGCATATCCAGTTTCCTCTGAGTCACCAGGGCCCACTCTACGCTGCATCGGCCTCTGCCATGACCCCACAAACTTGGCATGCAGGGGGCTCTCTGCACACAACTTCCTAGATGCTTTTGGCTCCCCACAAGCTAACACCCACCCACCTCACTCTTCTAAAGCGCTGCCCCTCTCTGCAATGAACCACGAGGTCTGCCTGGCTCAGGTTCCCAGGGTGAACAAAGGGGCAGACCATGGCTGAGAGAAGGGGAATGTCACACAAGCTAGGTAAGCAGAATGCTCCTCCAAACTCCAGCTAGCACTGTCCCTGGGCAAACCTTTCAGCCTGTCCACTCTGAGCAGTGAAAGTGGAACAGAAAGAGCCACACCTAGGCATTCTGGTACCACTGACTGACTGGGGGGAAGGAGGAGGCAACTATCCTCCTCTCACTGGATTGAATTTTGCTATTCCCAATTTTCCATGAGTCTGGCACATGTGCTCCAGTAGTGACCAGTAACACAGCAAGGTGCTGTCCCAGTGTGTAGCAAGAGCAGATACCCAGCAGCTTTGGTTAGTACAGCGATAGGGTATGCCTCAGAGAAAATAACACGGATGGCAAAGACAAACAGCATTCCCTGAGGCCCTGAAGGGAGGACAAGCTGACACGTGACCTGTGGGAGCTTAGCCGGTGAACATGCACAAAGTTCATTCTAGCTGGGCATGGTGGCACAAATTTATAATCACAAGGCTTGGGAGGCTGAGACAGGAGGAACATAAGGCCAGTCTGGCTAGAGAGGAAGGACTACACTCTCTGCCCCCCCCCCTCTCTCTCACACACACACACACACACACACACACACACACACACACACACACGGAAGGGAGAGCAGGGAATCCAGAGTTTAAAAAAATATCAGGAGGGACTTCTTTATACTGGTCACCACTTACTGACACATGAAAACCCAGTCAACTAGAATTCTTCCAGGCGCTCCTCTGGACCAGGTAACCAGCTCTGTACAAAGCCTACCAGGCCAAGCCCTCTCTTATCACTCTGTTGTGTGTCAAAAAAAGAGAACGAGTCACTAGCCAGAGGCCTGATGTCTTGACTCTTTGCCTTCTGCTCTCCTGTATCCTCAGGGACTGGCTGAAAGGCCACTGTTTCTAGGGCCTTCCCTAACCTCAGGCTGATTATTCCCCATCCCTCTTGTGCAATCTTTTAAACCTGAGTTCACACTTAATGTTACAGAATGTAGATCTTATCCAGTCTTTACTCCAGGAAGCTCTAGGCCTACATCTTTCCAAGGCCCTTGACCTCTTAACATTTTGTAGATTTCACCTTGCCTGTCCCCTTCCCAAATCCTGTCCCTGCGCACAGCGGGGAGAAGAATTCTGTCTCTAGTTTCTAATCCTCAGAGTCCTTGGGATACGCAGATGGCTCAGTGGATAAAGAGCTCAGGCGTGACGACCCGAGTTCAGATACCCAGAACCCACACCACCCAGTAATCCCAGCAAGCGGATGGAGACAGGAAGTCTCTAGAGTGAGCTGGCTAAGCAGACTAAGAGAAACAGCAAACTAAAGGTTGGGTAAGAGACTCTGCTTCACCATATAGGAAGATACCTGAAGTCAGCCTTGGGCTTCCAGATGCATGCACACACATGCATTCATATGGATGAGAACATACACATGCACTACCCTACCCTACCCTACCCTTAATCTTACCCTTAAACGTAACCTTACCCCTTACATTATCACTAACCCACTACCCACCCCTACCACTATTCCAACGAAATCCAAACTCCACCTCAACCCCAAACCCTATCTGCAATATCCTCTGCCCTCTGAGAGGAGAGAGCACACATACGGTATACAGTGACACTCACAAGCAAAACAAAACAAAAAACCCTCATGCACACAAAAATTGAAATAAATCTTTAAATAAATAATAAGAAAAATCAAAAGAAATTGGGTCTTTGGAGAAGTAACTGTCCAGTTCCATGAGGTTTCTGAGTTTGGGTCTTATAAAAGGTCAGGAAACACTAACCTAGGCTTTGCCTTAGCTGCCTTTCTAGTTGCAGTGATGACAGACCCTGACGAACATAACTTAGGGGGAAAGGGCTTATTTTAGCTCACAATTCCAGGTTACACCCATCGTTTCTGGGACGTCACAGTGGTTAGAGACAGTCAGTCATATCATATCCAAAATCAGGAACAGACAAGCAAAGAGTATACACATGTCTGTCCTTCCCCCTTTCTATCAGTCTGGGGCCCAACCCACATTTGGGGTGACTCTTCCCAGCTCAATTAGCCCGTTAAGAAAATCACTCATAGGCAGAGTTAGACATCTCCTTACTAAGATTCCTTTCCCACACCGTTCTAGATTCTATCAGGTTGACAATTAAAAATAAATGGGTGGAGATTCCTCAGCAGCTAAAAAAGTACTGGATGCTTTTGCAAAGGACCCAGGCATAGTTCAGTTCCAGCTTATAGCCAGCTGTCTGTTAACTCCCATTCAGGGCATCCTTGACATTCTCTTTCAGCCTCTGAGGTTACCTGCATGCAGACAAAACACCCAAGACACATAAAACTTTATAAAGTAAATCTTAGAAAGAAAGCTAACAACCATAGGCCTTTTTTTTTTCTTTATCTTTCTTGTGTTCTGTTAGAGGACATATTATTTCTTCCTTTCCTCTCTTCCTGCCATGTAGGCATATCTAGAGAGTCTAGCAGGAATGGATGGATCTTGTACTGAACTTGCCAGCGTCTTGATCTTAGAATTCTCGGCCTCCAGAACTGTGAGAAAATGAATTCCTATTGCTTATAAATGTTTCAGTTGTACGAATGAACTTGGAACACCAGGGAACTGGCTCGTCTCATTTGTGGTTCCCTTGCCTAGTGTCTGATGCTTAGTACTCACTCACTATTACACTTGAGGCTGGGGGGTGTAGCCCTGGTCTAGCACTGTTCAGGACCTAGGTTCAATCCCCAGTGCTACAAATTAAAAAAAAAAAAAAGGAATGGGGAAAAAAAGTCACACTGAGGTGACGTAAACCTTGGTCTCCAGGGACTTATATGCTAAAACAGTTCTCTCACAATATGCTAGAGGAAAACACTCTACAGGGTGTGGCACTATCGAGATGGGTGTCTTCCCTTTTCAGAACCCTCACTGAGGCTGCAAATATCTCTGATCTACTCAGGGTAGCTGACTGCTACCCAGGGCTTGTTTTTATCTAACCAGTGGTCTGGAATGTTGCTTTCTCATCTCTGAAATCCAAATCCTCTGTGTTCTCTCTCTCCTGCCCCCGATCCCTGTGTGTGTGTCTATGTGTGTGTGTGTCTCTCTCTCTGTCCTTCAACAAGCTCTTAGAGGAGGCATCTGCCTTCTCCCTGATCAGCCTGAGAATTTTGTTGTGGCCATATAGGGCCAGGGCTGCCTCCTTCCAACCCAAACCCAGAGCTAGCACTCATTTAAGCTGTCAAAAAGGTTTTGGGCTGCTGGGCGGTGGTGGTGCACGCCTTTAATCCCAGCATTTGGGAGGCAGAGACAGTCGGATTTCTGAGTTCGAGGCCAGCCTGGTCTACAGAGTGAGTTCCAGGACAGCCAGGGCTACACAGAGAAACCCTGTCTTGAAAAACCAAAAAGAAAAAAAAAAAGAAAAAAAAAGAAAAGGTTTTGGGCTAATTTTGGTTTCTTAAGGCTCTACCCTTTGAAATATCTACTTGTCACTACAAGTGCCCATTAGTTCTAGGCCTCCAGATCACAACCCTCTGTTGGAGGCTGCCTCCTTACTCCATGGCCCAAGCTCTGCTTCTGATTAGTTGGGCTATGCCCTCTAAAATGTGGTATAGGATAGCTGCTCCTCAGGGTCCTAAGAGACTCAGGTGTCTTTCCTCTTTCACTCAGCCTAGAACCTGTAGATCCCGAGGCCTCCCAAGGCAAACATCCCTGCTAAGCTATCCTGATCTTACTTAGCACAGGGAAGATGCTTTCTGGGGCTATGTGATAAGGGTAGAGGCAGCCTTGGTATTTGTCCTGATAACAGCTTTAGCATTCAAAGCCCAAAACTGCTTCGGATATTGATGCCTTAAGTCAAGACAGTCCTCCACCTGAGAGCTAGGGTCTGCTTTGGAGAAAGCCTTGGCCTAGCTTCAGCTGTCTGGTTGTCACAAGAGAAAGAACTGACTAATTCTTCCTGGTACTTTAACCCTCTCAGCCTGTCTGCTCCACCTCAAAGGGTACAGAAAACGGCAGTAGCCTACTTTGTCGGGATTTATGAAAATTAACTCTATGCTATCTATAAACATTTTAATACTGCATCTACCTTAGTGCCTTACACAAGTGCGCCATTATCTGCTGAGGCTAAGAAAGGGCAATGAGCTAGTCAAAGTTCACAGCAATAGCTAACTGGAGGAGTAAACATGTAATCCCAGTACAGGTCCAAGCCCAGCTCCAGGTTACAACCAGAAGGAAACACTCCCTGAACATGAAGCCACTCTCCAACTGACACTAAAGGGTTTGGGTCCCACACCCTGTGACCCCTCCCCTGAGATGGCACCTCGCTGTTTACAGTTTATTAATATCAACTCTTGTGCCTTAAGCAGAGCTCTACCATAACTTCCCGCTGTCCCCACTTCGTGAGTAACCCAAGGGGCTCGGGTTTCCTCAGGGCAGAGGGAACCAGTGAGCAAGTAACCAAAACAGTAGCAAGACAAAAGCGCTGAGTTTGGGAAACCAGAGAAAAAGACCTTCCCTTTGCTGAGTGCTCTCAGACCATTCTTTTTTCCCCCCTTTCCCGGCCTCAGGCTTTCTACAGTTCCCCGGGGAACAGGATCACCCAACGTGCTTCAAGCAGAGCTATTCGGTTTCTGGGCAAGGTTGTGCCTTTTTTGCCCATTGGACTTTTCCACTTGACGGCTCTCCGAATTCCCTGGGCTTCAAGCCCCGGGAGATTCAGAAACAACCATAAGTGGAGGACAGGAGATGAGAGGGAATATCCACCTAGCTAGGACCGGCTAGAAGCTCCAGGCTGTGCTGAGGCCGAAGACGACCCAAGGTCGCGCGCGGCCAGACCCTGCCCGGCTCTAGGGCGGAGTCCCCCTCAGTTCCCCCGATGAAGGCAAGGCCCTTAAGAGAGGCACTGACCGGGCTCGAGCGGCTGCCCCGCTACCTCTGCCTCCGTCCTCATGACCCGGGTGGCGCAGGGCGCCCATGGCCCCGGCCTGGAGCTGATTGCAGCTGCGACTTCTGCTGGGCAGCGAGCGCGGCCAGTGAGCCCAGAGGTCCTCCGCCGCCGCCACCGCGGTTCAGACCCGGGTAGGCGGTGGCTAGGCCGCCTCAAGCCACGCCTAATCCCTTCCAGGTCTGGGAGCTGGAAACCCGCCCCTTCCATAAGCCACGCCTCTTCCCTTCCACCCAACTTCGCTTCCAGACCCGGCTACCCGCAGGTCCTTCCCCGAAACGCTCCGGTGGCCCCGCCCCCTCTGCTAGCCCCGCCCCCAAAGCGACGTTGACTCCCTACAAAGTACCTAGCACTAGTACCTCCGCTAGCTCTGTTCTTTTGCAGCCTCGGATGTAAGCTCTGGTCCTTCGCAATGCCTCATCGAGACTCCAGGGAATCCTTTTCCGACTCCCTTTAGGTCTTCTTTCCTAGACAATGAATAATGATAGTTCCCAGTACTCAGTGCATCCCTTACCTGACGATGACCGGATCCAAAGCTTAAATTCCTAGTCCAAGCCTCACTTCCTGTCTCCCCTGAGCATTGGGCTCAAGCCCAGATCCCGCCCAATCCGTCACTACAGTACTCAGTAAGCATGGGTCACCATGTTCTTTTATGGGCTCGAGGATTGATGTTTCCGGCGGTCCCCGGGCCCTCTCCAGTGCCGGAACTATAGTGCTAGAGCCCTGGTTTCCCCAGCCGGCTAAGTGAGAGTAAAGGGCAAGTAGGCTTAAAGGAAAGGGAGGGGCCTGCGCAAGGCATTCTGGGAGCGCGTGGTGTTCGCGATACTCGGGCCCGTCGTTTCCTCGCCTCACGCCTTCGCCTTCTAACGTTTGTGCCGGAACCGAAAAAAAAAAAAAGCCTGAAGTTAGTTGGTGAGGAGAGGCGGCTAACGGGAGAGAGGAGACCAGAGCTCCCGCAGAGGGTTAGGAGCTGGTGGGAGGGACGCTGCGGAGGAAGGAGGTCAGCGGGGCATAGCGGAGGGCGGGAAGCCAGGGCCTCTCCAAATATCATCTCACTAGCTTTGGAACAGTTATTAATTTACGCCTAGTCTGCACGTTCGGTGCCTTTCCAGGTCACTGATTTTCGAACCTTACAAGTAGTCATTTCTTAGTAATTATCTCCTTTCCTTCTGGATCGTCCTTTTCATCCCTGCTCCACTCGCTTTCCTGCACTGGCCCTCTCCTGCTTTCCACGCTGCTGCAGAAGTTTTTTAGCAGGTTGCTCTGCTATACGTTCGATCCACTTTGTAGATGCTACTAATTTTTTTTTTTGAGCCATTGGCTATAATCCTGCGATGTTTCCCTACCATTTTCAGCACGAAACCCACACTCCTAAAGTTGAAAGCCGTGGTTCCTCACCGAGAAGACTGTGTTTTAGCATCTTTGTAGTCTTCTCCTGAAATAGGTGGTGTGCTCCGGTCTTGAGTCGTTCCCTCTCTCAGCATTTTTAAAGCCCCGTGCGTAGTCTTTGTCTTTTAATGAGACTTTTAAGTCGAGCGTTTTACCCAATTTTCCTGCCTGAGCATTTCCTGTTTATTATAGCGCGGAGCCTTGACAGTTTTGCTCTGCTTTTTGCTGGGGAGTCAAAAAGCTGAATTGAGAAGCACGACGTCTTTTTCTAGATCCCTCTGGGTTTAGATCTAAATGTACGATCAGGTATTCTAGTCTCTATCCAAATTCGGTTGCTGAGTACTTGGAATATCACTGGTGTGACTGAGGGGCTGAGATTTTTTTTTCAATTTGCATTTTAACTACTTGTAAACTCCAGGACCATATCATAGTTGTTTTATTGACTATAAAGGGTCATATGGCTGAGATGAGAAAGGAGATACTCCTTGTTCCCATTAGCTTTCTTTGTTCAACTTACCATCCTTCCCTACCTATCTGTTGTGCTATTCTGCCGTGGTAGTTCCTTCAAGTCAAGAGCCTTCCACAGAAGATTCGGCTCTGACATAATTTGCAAAGCCTGTGGAATGCCTAGTCCTTAAGCTCCGAAAGATAACCGTTGTCTCTCTTTCACTGTAGCACGGGAAGAGCCCTGCCAAGATGTCTATTGGTGTGCCGATAAAAGTCTTGCACGAGGCGGAAGGCCACATAGTGACATGTGAGACCAACACTGGCGAAGTGTATCGAGGGAAGCTCATCGAAGCAGAGGACAACATGAACTGCCAGGTACCCAGCTTTGCACCTGGGGCTGTGAAGGAACGGTGGCGTCTATCCTGGGGGATAAGAAAGGTGTACTTGGAGGTCTTAATGAAGTTAATCTCACCGGACAGTTATTAACGGAGTGCTTTATTGACAGGCTCTGAGACTGTATGTCGGTAGAGACTTAGCCTTGAGGCAGAAAAGTCCTTTAACAGCCTGGTGTGATAGTACATGTATATCCCAGCACTTAGGAGGCTGAGGTTCCAGTTCAAGGCCAGTATGGGCTCTATAGCAAGACCGCACTGTTATTGGTGGGGAGTCAAAAGGCTGAATTGAGAGCACAACCTGTTTCCCTAGATTTCTCTAGGGTTTGGTCTGTATGTACTATCAGGTAGCCTTTGGGCAAATACTGTTGCTGAGTACTTGTCTATAAACCAACCAGATATGTCTAACTTTCTGTCTCATCTCTTAGAGTCAGTCCGGTTTGGAACCAGTGTCCCCTTCCCAGTACAGTTTATAATTTGCAGAATCTTCTGCTCACATATGGTGTGCGCTTACTTTTGTCTTGGAGAAAGTTTTATCTGATAAAACTACCAAAGTTTTGGCAATATGGTTTTAGATTTTTTTTTCCCATCAATTAAGAACTTGAGCTTTGGAATCAGAGAATTCCCTGATTCCAAACTGAGTTGGGCCATAATTATAGGACCTTGAGTATCCTGGTCATTTATTCTCCCCTCTCTAAAATGAAGATGGAGTTGGTTTGTCTCCTCTGTGCTGTAAATTCCAGCCCAGAATTAAATACACAGGAAAGGTGTTGGGGAAGTGGCATGAAGGATGCCAGTGACCGAGTGCGATTACAGAAATGATTGGTTACCTTTCTTGTTGCTGTGATCAAATTCCTGACCAAAGCAACTTGAGGAGGAATTTATTTTGACTCACAGCGTGATGATACAGTCTATTGCAGAGGAAGTCGAGGTGGCAAGAACTTGGGGTGAGTCCTAGTCACGTTGAATCTGCAGTCAGGAAGCAGAGATGAGTGTCTGGACTTAGCCCCATTTCTACTTTTCCCCTCCACCCAATCTAGATAATCCCTCTCAGACATGCCTGTCCCTTCAGAAATTCTAAATCCATCGAGTCGATAATATTAATCATGGTGGCAGGAGAGTCTTCAATCCAGGGAAAGGAAGGCAGACTGAGGAAAATGCGCCTCAGACTGCAACATGACGCTGAGGAAGTTTCGCCCAAGTAAGAGGAGTAACTGGAGGCAGCAATGGCCTGGCTCCGGTGTTTCTGCTGTGGTCAGTCCCTGGCAGCCTGTGTGGAGGGAGGGCTGCCACAGTGGGAGTCCTTGGTGGCAGCTGGAGGTTGTCAGCTGCACACTCCTCCCTGTTGTCTCCTGAAAGGGTGAATGTAGTATCCCGAGACTGCTCCAGGTCTAGCGATGTTAGAGAAGAGATAACGCCTGTTAGCAGCAGCCAGTTCTGTGCTTTGCTGTTGGAATGAATATGTAATGTCTTGCTATATTCCAAGTGAGAAAACGAAAGGTTGAGGAGGTACAGTGCCTTGTTTAGGGTCACCCCTGTGGGTAAGGGGGCCTGACTGTTGCTTTTTAGGGTTTGTGTTATTTTTCTGTGGCTGCCATACTGTACCATTAGAACAGTTCCAGAAGGATGAATCTGTCTTGGTAAGGAGGCACAGTAACAGCAGCAGGAAGCTGAGAGCTGACATTTTCAATAGACAGCATGAAGCAAAGAGCGCAAACAGGAAGTGTCAGAGGGTGCTCAAAGTCAGTCCCCAGTGACATCTTTCAGCAAGGCTACATCCTCTCGCGCCCCCCCCCCCCAAAAAAAAAAGTATCACCAACTGGGGGCCAACTGTTCTGACACTTTTCATTTAAACAACACAGTTGTGCTGGTTAGGTTTTTGTCATGAGTTTAAAAAGGGGAAACCTCAATTGTGAAAATGTCCCCATCAGATTACCCTCTAGGCAAGTCTGTGGGACATTTTTTTGATTAGTGGTTGATGTAGGAGGGCCCAGCCCATTACAGACTATACGGGTTGTATCTGGGGGGTATAAGAAAGGTAGGTGAAGGCCAAACATGGTGATACAACACCTTTAATCCCACCACTTTCGAAGCAGAGGCAGGACAACCAGGGCTACATAGAGAGGTTATCTCAAAACAAAACAGGGTGTGGTGGTGGACACATCTCTGTGAGTTCAAGGTCAGCCTGTCCTACAAAGCAAATTCCAGGGCAGCCAGTGCTGTTACACAGAGAAACAAAAAAAAACAAAAGTGTGTGTATGTTGAGCATGAGCCTGGAGGGCAAGTCAGTAAGCAGCATTCCTCTAGTCTCTGCTTCAGTTCTTGCCAACTTGACTCCTGCCTTGGCTTCCATTAATGACGGACTGTGATCACGATGTGTGTGCCAAGTAAACTCTTTCCCCTTCTCTCCCCAGGTTACTTTTGGCTGTGATGTTTGTTAGAACAATGCAAAGCAAACTAAAACAAGATTTAGCTTAGAGTTGGGTGGTGTGTGTGCGCACACGCATGCCCTCCTTCCCCTCTGCTGGTAATGGAACCCAGTGCCTCAGGCAAGACAGGTTAGCACTCTCCCACTGAACTATACCGCCTGCCAGTTTAGGATTGCTTGTGAGATCCTAATCTGATCTCTAACACTTGATTGTCCTGCCTCAGTGTCCATTCTGTAATTTTAGGTAAGAGCTACCCCACCCAGCTGGGAGGCTTTCTGAAGTCCTGTACTGCTTGGTTTCCTTCCAAAGGAAGGTCCTGTGAGGCGTGGCTGAGTTAGTGCTGCAAGGTCCTGAGCTGTAGTCATCTGCCTTTGTGCTGCTTTTTCGGTTCCAGCCCTCTCAGTTAGGATGTCTTTGGCTATTTTAGGGCATTAGGTTTTTAATAAAGATTTCAAACAGTGACTATTAATTTGTTTATTATGCTGCTTTATATAAAAAAACTTGCTCATT